GTGTGTGTGTGTGTGTGTGTGTGTGTGTGTGTGTGTGTGTGACTGTGCTACTGAATAATACATCTTTGACTCGTCAGAGCGGTGACTTCAAAGCTCTACACACGCTGGGAAAGGGAGGAAAGAGAAAGAGACCAAGAGATGTGAGGGTTGGAGTGAGGCGGAAAGACACAAAAACAAAGGTACAAGATGAACAATAGTGAGAAGGTCAGAGAAGAAGTGACAGACGACTGAGGGATGGCTTCCAACAAGACTGCACTACCTTTTCTGTCATCCTGCCCACAGCCTTGTGTTAAGTAGTCAGATATTGCAAAGTTATTAAAACAGTATTGTGAAGTTTTCCGGGAAAAATTGCCACAAAATTGTTGCATTCCGATTTATAATCATTTATTTCTCCATCAATTTTTTTTCTTATCAATTCTGTCTGGCAGGTTTTTTTATCTTTCCCAAATTCAGACCTCAAAGGCAAACACAAAAATAAAAGCAGTAATCAACAACTATGTTGTTAAAGGTGTTACCAGCCTTAAATCAGTTGATTAACAGCAAGTTTTGCATGAGTTCACTATTTTATTGCCAGTTAAACACCTAAATGTGGTTTATATTAAAATACATGGAAATAAATAAAATATTCTAAAGCAAGCACAGATAAATAGAAATGTGTTTGTTTTTTTCCCTCATTTTACAGCTACTTATTTTCTCTCTCTGTTACTTCCTCTTTGTAAGCACAGGCATGCAGTCAGTTAAATGACTTGTTTGTTTAGCATTAAATATTAAATCATCTCTAGTCCAGCCTGTCCAAAAAAAAAAGGACAACTAGCTTAGAATAAAATGAATCAAAGGTAACCAGACTTGTTTTGATTTTTGATTCATCCTGCAAAACATAATGTTCTACATCAGGGGTGTCCAGTCCAGGTCCTCAAGGACCTGTCCTGCATGTTTTAGAGGTTTCTCTGCTCCAACACACCTGATTTTAATGAATGGGCGATAAACAGACCTTTGCAGCACTTGAAAAGGTAATTTAATCACTGAATCAAGTGTGCTGGAGAAGAGAAACAAGAAAAATGGGACCAGGTATGGACACCCCTGGTCTAGATGTGTCTACGCCAGTTTTCCTGTTATAAATTTGCGAGGTTATGATACAAAAAAACAGGATAAGCAGTCTTAGAAACAGACCCAGTGCATTATTTTTTCCCAAACAACATCATCTGAATTTAAAAAATGTAAAGCTTTATTTTGCAAGTACAAATATTTCCAGCAACAGCAGGTTTCTGCACCACTTTCAGTACAGCCTGGGGCACTTCTGGCAGGAATCACACAATATTTCTGCTGGAATAAATGCAAAATTGATATAGTCTTGGACAAAAGTGGCTACAATTAAAATAATTTATATGATTTAAATAAATTTGTTACATTCCCACGAGGAGGGGGGCATAGCAGATTAGTGGTTAGAGCAGTAAACACCTCCCAAAAAGGTTGCAGGGTCAAAAAAAAAGCATCAACATTTSTGTCTGAAGTTTGCATGTTCTCCTTGTGCATGTGTTCATTTCTCTAGTTACCAAAAAGTGCATGTTAGGTTAAATGACAACTCTAAATGGTTACTAGGTGTGTGTGTGTGTGTGTGTGTGTGTGTGTGTGTGTGTGTGTGTGTGTGTGTGTGTGTG